TCCCTCCCTCCCCCCCCGGCCCCAAGAGAGAGACAAAACACGTATCCTCTGCTCCTGGCTCTCTTCAAGCCACTTCAAAAGTCTTCAGGTGCCACGCTACGATGCCCGACCGAGCACAGAAGGGGTGCCAGCGGGGTCAGCGGTGTGGGCGGCGAGAGATGCCCAGGAGAGGCCACGGCAGGAAGAAACCGGAGTACCGACCAGGGCCAGGAGCGAATTTCATTGATTGCAAAAAACTCCACAGCCACCCAGCAGCAGAACTCAAACCAGACAGGGGAAAAAACCAGGTACGGCCCGACACCCTGTTCCAGCCGTGACGTGAAAGATGGCACGTTCGCAGAAGGGGTCTCTTCGCTGCACAGCGCCCGTCTGCTCTTGTCCCCTTACTGCTACCCTCCCCTCCAAAGACCCCTTACCCTCCCCCAGCCCGAGCGCCACGTTTGACTGTGCACTCCATCCCTCCCCCCAAACGAAACCAATGAAAGTTAAAATTATTTACACTGTTAGCCATTTAAAAACCCAATAAAATAAGATTGCATATGTCCTACTGGGGATGTGGGTATTAGCAGCAGCTACAGCTAGCTCGGTACTCTGCGTGCAAAACGAAAGACAAACAGAAGACAGACCAAAATACTGCACCATTACTAGGAAGCGTTTGCTGGGGTTGGTGTTTCGATTGTGGCGTAAGGCTTCTAGGAGCCGGCTCCTCCCCAGCCGCAGGGCAGGGGCGTCTCCCGCTCAGCCAGCGAAGGCCGGGCTCTAGAAGGATGGAAAGGATTTGTTATTCCAGACACAGCACATTAACACTGACGCATTTCCATCCCAGTCGACACAAACATCTAAAAACCCACTGCACGTTCACCGTGTGAGTTCTTCCTTCTTTCCAGTGACGATGGAGGAAAAGGGGGTGCGTGAAGAAGACCTAAGACATAGATGCTGCTGTCATCGCTGCCTCCTCCTCATCTCCTCGCTTTGGCAGCTCAGCAAGTGTGGGAGAGGGGGGAGCCGGAGTGGCAGGAGACTCTTGTGTCTCCTGCTCCTCTCCGAGCCCCAGCTCTACATCCATTTGCTCCAGCTCCCCCTGATCCAGTAGCTCAAAGTCATCTGCCTCCTCCTCATCCTCCGGTGAAGCTGCTGTCTCTGTCTCCACCACTTCGGTCTCTGACAGCTGTGCTTGGAAGCTCAGTTTCTCTTCGGGCTCGGTGGGCAGGAACTCGGAGAGGGAGGGCCCCTCGCTGGCCTCCGAGGACCGCAGCAGGGCAGAGAGGGTGTTCTGCACCGCCGTGGTAATGGCAGTGGTGACGATCTCCTCGCTCAGCGTGTCAATGCAGATGCCCAGGCCCGGGGCAGGGACAGTCTTTGGCTCTGCGTTGCCTCCTGCCGCTTGCCCGCTCCCATTGAAGTGCGTATTTACAAAATGGAGAGGAGACGCTAGGCGAAGGATGGAGAGGTCAGAGTCCGCGGCCTCCTTCTCTGCCGAGTCCAGCTCACGGGCAGCGTGGGCAAGCTCAGGACCCAGAGGCACACCAAACGCATCTTCATCGCTCTGTGGTCCCAGGTCTCTGGAATGATATTCTTCCACGGAGGGAAACTCTGCCAGGTCCTTGGAAAATGACTCCTCTGGCTCGCTGTGCAGGCTCTGCTGATCCAGGTCTGAAAGGCACCAGCATTAAGGTGGAGGTCCCCTCACCTCGACCCAGGGCACTGACACCTCCCACCCACCTCCCCCCAGCTGACACACCAGGGCTCACTTTTGGGCATCCTCCCAGCTCTGGGAGCACAGCAGGAAGGGGTCTGCAGTTATTCCCTTCTCCCAGTGGCACGACTCACACGGAGTGTCCCTTTCCTCACCCTGTTCTATGTGCTCTGTACTCAGAGAGGACTTCCTTCATGCTCTCTGCACCTAGAGCCCTCCACTAAAACCCACAGGGTCAGGGAAGTTGTGCTTACAGCACATCACCTGCCTGTTCCTCCCCAGACACAAAAGTGACCGCATCCGAGCGGTTACCTTCACGTTCCTCACCACTAACCAGTCTTTCTCTGAGCTTGTAAGTCTGACAGGGTGGGGTGTCCGACCTGTTTCACCCAGCATCTTATATGGGCGTGTGACTATACCATGCAATTATTTCTGCGGGACTTTGTGGATGGCCTTGCTCCCTTGCTGGAGTGACAAGACATCATTGTCTTGTGGAGCAGTAATCAGAGGCAGATGTCCACTCAGGACCAGCTCATGATCAGCCATGAAGCCAGGGCGTGCTGCGCTGCTATTACTGCTTCCTCCTTTTAATGCTCTCCCCCCTGCAAATAGCTAGCTTCTCTCCCTGTGTTTGGAGGGACAGTTTTTCTGGGACAAAACACTCAGGCTCAGGAAGGCAGCGAAGTGTCCCATCACGTACCTTCAGAAACGTCCGTCAGCTGTGGGGTGGTAGCCCTCGAGACAGAAAAGCCCCCACTCTCCAGGATGGAAGCCTCCTCATCAGAGAGCTCAGAATCTGTGATTGACAGTGCCAGGGCAGTCTTTTTCACATCCACCTGCATGGGACGAAGGCAGAGGGACAAATTCCTGGGTGTCTGACTATCAGTGCTGCCTACGGGCACCTCCGCACAAACCAGAGCTTCCAGGCAGGAGTCCTTTGCTGGAGAGACTCTGCACAGGGACAGGATGAAAGCAGGAGGGGGCTGGGCAAAGTGCCCATTGCACTGCCAGGGAAGGACAGTCTCAGCTCACTGGCTTTCCTGCAATAATTCACTGCCTGAAGCTTTGCCTGCCCTCAGTGAAGAACCTGAAAGAGCCAGCACAAGGTGGGATCAGCCTGTAGGAGTCTCAGAAGGCTTTGATCCTTTTTCCTCTCTTGGGATCACCAAGGAGCAAAACACCCCTTCCCTTTTTGCATTCGTGCTGGCCCCAATGAAGCCTTCTACAAGTAGAAGCAGTTCGAGTATCTGCATTCCTTTGGAAGCTGAAGCTTCCCATCTCACAGCCCAGCTACAGGCCCAGAGCTCCTGTAAAGTAAGACACATGGTCCGTTTCTGCGGTGCACATACAGAAAGGTCCCACCCAGTCTGACTGAGAGCAGGGACCTGTGTAAGAGACACCAGTGCTGCCCATCTCCCTCTTCCAGTGGCGAGGAGCCTCTGCACATTACACCAGGACAGTTGATTTCTTTAGGAGACACTCACGTTCTCTGAGCATGAAGCGTAACCACCAGAGCAATTCTGCAGGTCAGGAGGCTGGAGCATGGCTCGCCCTGTCCTGCTACTGCATCACCAGCCCTGTGGCGTTGAATTCTCAATACCCAGATTGGAGACAACGGCCTTCATCAAACTAATACCCTTCTCCCCTTGGGATTCTGCAAAGAAGCGACTTGTTGCTCTGCTGTTCGTTATCAATGCAGCTGTACTCAGACCACCCCTTGCCTCTCAAGCTGCTAAAGACCAGAGAGGAGGGACTGGTTCCTGCACAGCTCTTTGTGCTCTTACCACTGGGGAGAAGCCCGACAGCTCTGCCTCACTCTCACTCTCCGTCTCTGCTGTTGGCTCATCACCTGCTGCAGGCTCACTCTTCCCTTGTCGCTCTATGAGAAAGAGAAGAAAGGCTTTACGTGAGACTGAAGGAATTTTATGCCTTTATACATCACTTTCCCACTACTTCTACTACCCTGTGAAACTGCACAGGTTTCCCAGAAGCCCAAGGTTCCCAGAGACAACTGTAATCTGCTGCTTTCACTTGCTATTCCCAGGATCACCTGCCCCGTCACTCTCCCCATAACCCTCAAGTTTCAGTCTGTTTTCCCCTGCTCCGCTGCAGCCTTTCACCACACAGTGCCGGCAGACCTGCTCTCCCATTGTCCCTTTGCTAGGGCTCCACCCTGGGAGTACGGCACCAGAAAAAGTCAGAGCGAAGTGGGGTCCTTACTCTTCTTCTCATGCTTGTGGTGCAGTGTCTCTGCCTTCATGCTGTAGTCCAGTTTCATCAGGACAGGCTCTAAACGTGTGTACATCCTCTGGATCAGCTCGTGGTAGACCACCAGAGGCCAGAGCAGAATGCTAAGCACTGCGAACACAGAACGTGGGGAGTGTGAGAGACAGACCAAGCACAGTCCAGCCCTTTATGGGGCGCCAGCAAGAAACTCTGCATCAAGGGAAGCGCAGTGGAATGGCATTTGCTTTCCCATCTGACTCTGCCTAAAATCCTCATCCATGGCTATTCTTACTCATTCCAAAGCTGCTTGATTAACCAGGTTTTCCTAACAGATCTCTGTTAGGATATGTTATGTTAAGATGAAGTGTAAGCCCTCCTCTTCAGCCACTGCATCCCAGCCCCAACATGCAATAGAGGCCGTGAAATGAGGTTATTAAAACTAAAAATCACCAAAACTTTTATAAGGGTAGCAGCACAGAGCTCATATACAGACGTGTTAGCAGCAGACCACCTGAACAGCCTTCAGAGTTAGCAGGGACTCACGAGGCAGTGAAAAAGGTCTTATTTGCTAAACATGCAGCTTCTTTAACAACTCTCTCGATATGGATTTGCCCACTCTAGGAACTGGAAGACTGCAGCTTTCTGCTTCTCCGGCACCTCACCCGCACAACCCCAGCCGTGGGTAGAAGAGGAAAGCAATGTTTTAGCGACGGCTCCCTCTCCTGACTTTGAAGTTGTACTGCATGCACACACTTAAAGCAAGAGACTTCCCGGAGCACACTGCCGGTGTTGATTAATAATCTAGCACAGATCCCCTCAAGAAAACCACAAATATGCTTCTACCAGCATATCAATAGCACAGTTAGGTCATGTTTCAGCTTAAGTCAGACAAGAGAGCTGCTTATACTCACAAATGATGTAGGAGATCATTATGCCTGGAACATAGTGTCCAACTACAGCCAGAATCAGGCAGCCTGAACAGACACTCATGCAGAACTGAAGGAAGAGAGAGGAACAAACAGAAGTGACAAGAGGCAGAGATACATCTATGCAACCAGTGCAGGAAACCCAGTTAGAGCAAAATGAGGGATGCTCCTAACAAAGTCAGTACACCAGCTTTGCACTGAGTACATTCAGATGCTGACAATCACAACTCAGACAGCTTGGTTGGGTTAAGCTGTAAGCATTAGAGGTTCAAGCGCAGGAAGACCAAGGTAACCCAAGACCCTAGTAAAATGAATCAAAACTTTACTGGACAGTTCTTTATGAAGTAAATGATGCTCCCTGAGGCTAGGATGGGATATTGCAAATTGCCATTTTAGAGTACATCTCTCCTGCAGAGCTCAGCACTTCAAGAGAAGTCCATACTGTCCCAACAGAGACAGGAAGCTGTTACAGTCACCAGATGCTGTGCCACTGCTACGCGATAAACCAGCTGGCAGAAGCATTAGCAGAACCCACGCTCCCACCAGACCAGGACCTTCCTCCTCTGGAAGAAGTGGAAGTATAATGGTGCAGCCCTGACGGCTCGTCCTGCATTCTCCTGGGGAGGGGGAGAAGTGAGAACGGACACCCTGCAAGCCAGGGCATGGGTTCAAATATCGACTGAATCCAGCAATGAAGAGTTTCATTCATAATGCAAAGGGTCTACAAAAGCTAGGGCCCCCCCTAAGGGCTTCGCTCCCGATGAATTCAGGCTTTATGAGCATCTTGGTCCTGG